GATAGAGTTATTACAGGGGCATTTGGATATGCCCAGGATACAAAGCTAGTATCTAGCGACCGACAGATGAAAGCACCAAGACTAGCCTACCAACGATGAAGTGTATTAATCTGGTTCCCATGGCCTGTGAATCATCCGTGCTACCTTGTGCTTGCCTGCCAAAGTCCAATCGATGATATCATTCTTTATCCGATCAAGCACTTGCTCCTCTATCGAGTTCTTTTGCTCAAATATGTGTGTGTTCCTCTCCTTCCACACAGTCCACCACGTGAGCTGCACAAGTGAGCTCCAAGCTGCCTTGTGGATCACCGGCACCTGCTATCTTGATTGGTACCACCAGTCCCAAATGTTCTCGGAGCCTAGCGATGGCACGAGGGCCAAAAGCAGATTGCACCTTTGCATAATCTTTTCCCACAAGCTAATCGTGAATGGGCAGCTAGCAAGGAGATGAGTGGGCGTCTCTCGCTGGGCATTACAGAGGCAACACCTCGGGTTGTGAGGCTAGTTTCGCTTCTCCAGATTGTCCCCGGTCAGGATTTTGCCAAGCACGGCCATCCATGAGAACACCTTGCATTTCAGTGGTGCCTCTGACTTCCAGATCAGCTGTTTGTAACTCGTCCGCATCGATCCTTCAAACTGAATAGCATAGGCCGACTGAGCGGAGAACTCGCCGTTTGCCGTCCACCGCCAGGAAACTGCGTCCGGATGCTAGCCTAGTGCCACGCCCTGTAGCTGAACCCACAAGGCGGTGAACTCACGGACAGCCTGCGGCGTCAGATTCTCCCTTAGGTGACGCGTCCAACGATCGCCGGTAAGCGCTTGAGCCACCGTGAGCCGTTTCCGGGTGCAGACACTGAACAACGCTGGGTAGCTATGACAGAAACTTATTCCATGCATCCAGGGCTCCGTCCAGAAGCAAATTCGTTGTCCATCCCCAAGATGGAACTGAACTGAAGCCATGAACAGCTCCTGAACTCTAGCATCGGTGGGCAGAGGCAGCCCCAACCAGGCCTTGCTTGGGTCCGTCCAGGACATCCACAACCATCTCAGCCTCAGCGCTGTGCTCTGCGCAGCCAAGTCCGTCATCCCCAGCCCTCCGAAGATCATTGGTCTGCAAATTATGCGCCAGCTCACCAGACATTTGCCGCCCACTGCAAATTCTTTTCCTTCCCAGAGAAAGCCTCTCCTGAGCTTATCAATCTTCTTCCGCAACCACACCGGCATTTGAACGACCATCATCTGAAAAACCACCATCGTAGAGAGCACATGCTTCACCAGCAGAATTCGACCATCCATGGAGAAGTGTATCCGGATCCAACCCTTCATCTTGTTGCAAAGTTTGTCGAGCGCTGGTTGGTAGTCCACCTTGCGAATCTTTGAGTCGGACAGTGGCATACCGAGGTAGGTGCAGGGGAAAGCCTTGATCTCGCATCCGAGCGAGTGGATGACTGCCGGCAGTGTTACCCCACTACAAAAAATGGGAGTGATATAGCTCTTTGTAAAATTTGTCATCAGACCTGTAGCGCCCCCAAAGGCCTTGAGCAGATCGGCCACTGCCATTATCTCTTGAGCACAAGGATTTATGAACAACACTGCATCATCCGCATATAAAGACGTCCTGAATGGCATCCTTTGAGCGCCAATCTCCTGAAGAACTCCAGCCTTCGCTGCCGAATTGAATAGGGCTGCCAAGCAATCCATGGCGATCACGAATAACAGCGGCGAGAGGGGGTCCCCTTGCCGCAGCCCTCTTTGGTGCAAAATTTTCTCCGATAGCTCTCCATTCACCATGACCCTTGACAAAGAGGAAGACAGTAGGCCGGCAATCCAATCTCTAAACCTACCCCCGAAACCCTTTGCTTCCAGAACATGCAAAAGGAATTCCCACGAGATTGCGTCGAAAGCTTTCTCAATGTCGAGCTTTATCATAAGCGCTGGGGTCTTCGCCTGTCTGAACGCCTTTGCCAAACCACTAACATATGTGTAGTTGTCGTGGATAGTTCGCCCACGGATGAATGCATTTTGGCACGGCTGTACGATCTCTTTCATTCGATCCCTCATCCGCATAGCCAGTATTTTGGTGAAGAGCTTCGCAAAACTGGAAATCAGGCTGATGGGGCGGAAGTCTCTCGGTGTCGCGGCGTCTTCTCTCTTGGGCAGCAGGATTAGATTGGCGTCGTTGAGCAGGTGAAATTTGGAGAAATTCATTCTGTATAACGCTTGCAGCGCCTTCATGATGTCTTCACTGATGATCCCCCAACAGTGCTTGTAAAACAGTCCGGTGAACCCGTCCGGCCTTGGCGCCTTCTCCCCATTCATCTCATTTACTGCAGTTGTAGCTTCCTCCATCGTGAACGGCATTTCCAACTCCGTAAGATCCACCTGCTGGATCTCCAGCTCCTCGAAATTGAGGCAGGTCGTTCTCTCTCCTTTTGCACCGATCAAGGATTCAAAAAAATTGTGCATAGCTTCCAGTTTGTCCGGCTGCTCAGTGCAAACTTTGCCATCGAACAGAATTCTGTGGATATACTTTCGCCGTCTTCTCGCCGATGCCTTGGAGTGAAAGAAGCGGGTGCTAGCATCTCCCTCCTTGATCCATTGAATGCGCGCCCTTTGCCTCCAGATCGTCCGCTCCAGTGCGGCAAGGCCAAGTCGCTGCACCTTCAGAGCCGCCCTGAACTGTCTTTCTTCAACTGTAAGATCCCTCCTTTCCATCGCCTTATCCAGCTTGGCCACAATTTCACTCACTTTCGCCGATCTTAGCGCAATGTTGTTCACCATCTTGGCCCCCCAGCTCTTCAACTCTCTGGCAATACGCTTCAGCTTCTCCGCAAGGCAGGCAATAGGTTCTTCATTAGTCGTTGGAAGCCGCCACACCCTGTTTACCAATTCATCAAACCCTTCCATCTTGACCCAAAAATTCTCGAAACGAAACTGCCTCGCCGGCCGGAAGGAAGTGTCACATGTGAGAAGCAACGGGCAATGATCTGACATCTCGCTCGAGAGGGCTTGCAGCAGGCATCCAGGGAAACTAGCGTCCCATGCGTCATTAAACAGAACACGATCCAACTTCACCAAAGTGGCCCTCTCTTGCTCGTTACTCCAAGTGTACCGACGGCCGTGCATGTATAATTTCTTTAGCTGTAGCTCGTTGATGAAGCCCCTGAAGGCCGACAAACATCTGCGGTTGATGTTATTGTTGTTTTTGTCCGTCGCCTGTGCTATCAGATTGAAATCTCCTCCGAGGAACATTGGCGTGCCCACTGGAAAGGCTTGCACCGTTGCCTTCAGATCAGCCAGGAAAACCATCTTCTCTGCTTCTTGTTGTGGTCCGTACACCGTCACCAAACCAAAAGGGGCTCCATCCGTCGTGTTCCCATGCGCCGCAATAAAGGAATTACGAGCATCCACATTAGGGAGATTGAACTTGGCCCCAACCCATGCGAGTAAAATTCCACCGCGCGTCCCGTCCGCGGGAGAGAAGGTAAACTTGTCAAACTCAGCCCCACAACACTCTTGCACCATCCTACTGTCCACCACAGATAATTTGGTTTCTTGGATACATGCCATGGCCACATTGTGCGCCTTCACCACAGCCCTAACCACACCTCTCCGTGCGGGGTGTGATTATCCTGTAGTTACCACAAAACAAGCACTAGGTCAGTTGGTTAGTTGCCAAATTTCTTTACCAAGACAATGGGTGATCGATTCCCAAGTAGCTCTTACTTTTGCATTTAAAAACAAGAGATCAACCTCCGCCAAAAAATCGCTGCTGCCTACGTACAAGGATCAACCTCCGCCCAAAAATTCGCTACCCATATACGAGAAAAAAGGAATCTGATTTAACCTTCCTTCGCCAAAAAATTAGGAAACAAACCCCGCCTATCTCGTTCAGGATCTCAAAAAGTCGAAGCGAAATCATCGGAAGCGACCGCGGTGAACAAAATCATCAGGAGCGAGCGCAAAAACTGCGGGAGAAAAGAAGAAAACATGGGGTCGCGCACGACCATAGGATCTAGAACGGACAAGATCCAATGTGTTCGGATCCGTTGCAGAAATCCTGCCGACTGGATTTTAGCTTTCTCGTATATTAATTTACGGAGGGAGTAGCTAGTTGCTCTGCTGAAATCGCTGGTCGCGTAAAACTTTAGGTTCGCTTCTCTCGAAAAGAAATAAGGTGGCCAGGAGCTCGACCATGGAGGGCACTCCCGCATAGGGAGGAGAAGAGAGGGGGTGGCCTCGATGACGGCGACCGCGTCTCCCCCCACCCCCACCCACGCGCGCGAGCCCTCCAGATCCGCAACTTCGAGCTCCTGCAGTACCGTTGGCGGCCACGAGCAGGTCCTCGAGCATGCTGCTGCTGCTCCGGTGCGGGGCAGAAGAGACCGGGGCGCAGGCGCACGTGCCGCAGCTGTAGCTGGACAAGGACTGCGCGCGGGCGGAGCAGAAGCCGTTCTGGAAGGGCAGCGGCGAGCAGAAGCGTTCTGGAAGGAGCGCCGCGCAGCGCAGCAGCAGCCGGCGGCATCGTCGCGGCTGAGCACGCCGGTCGCTAAGGGGGCGGAGGCCAGGCAGGCTGTGTACGCGAGAAAGAGGAGACGGGGATGACTCGGTCAAACTCTGCAATTCAATACTTCCAAACAGAAAGGGACTATAATTGGTTGCTCTCTTTAGATTTCAAATTGTCCAAACAGAAAATCTTGAATTGCATTCTATTTCAATACCTTGGTTGATTTGGTATTGCAGCTCAATTCAACTCGTTGGGCTGAATACATACATTCAAACAAAGCATAAGAGTACAACTCCTCCCGTCCCATAATATAAGATGTTGTTACAACCAGTATACGAGTACCTTCCAAGAGGTAATACTAACATCATCCAAAGAAGATATCACATTGCTTTGACCGGAGCTAGAATTGAAGTACATGCCTTTAGTTCTGTTGATGAAAGAAAATGTGTCCCATAAATATTTCCAGAATAAAATAAATGTGTTGTGTATGCAGGGAGATTGGTTGCGATGATGTGCAGGAAAGCTGAAATAGAGTTATATCTCAGCAGCTTGGGAAGCAAGAGCAGTGTAAGGATTAGTAGGAATTGCAATCAGTTCTCATGGGCACCTGGGTGCCAATCTGGCTGGGCTTGCTCAACCCAGGACACGAACTCATTCGCAAACAACTCATTTGAAAACCCGGTTCCGTCCAGAGCAGAGAATTGCAGGCCATGCTGTCCAGGTTTCTTCTGCCCTCGTGGACTGACTTGCATGATGCGTAAGTGTTTCTTTTCAAACAAATTACCCCCTAGACACTAACTTAATGATGCATGCAATCAACAGCATTATATTCCTTCCCGCACACACACTATATTCCTCAAGTCCCAATACATCAATCATTTTAGAGTTTCTTCCTCCACTTCTTTTTTTGTTGGTATTCTGTATTCTCAATGTTATGTTTACTTGCTCTAAATCCATTCTTCTTTTGTCCAGCTTGTCCTTTGGGTGCTTATTGTCCTCTTGGGACACTGAATAAAACTACCAACCTTTGTGACCCGTAAGAGTAATGTACACTGAAGATTCCTTATTTACCATGCGACACTCTTCATACGAATTTCATAGCACATATTGTTTCTCTGTGACAAAAAATATTAGGTATTCTTACCAAATAACTCCCGGATCAAACCAGACATGCGGCAGTGCAGATACTTGGGCTGATGTGATTACTACCAATGATGTCTTCTGCACTCCAGGGCACCATTGCCCAACCACTACCCAAAAACTTAACTGCAGCAAGGGGTAGTGTATTAGCCTTCTCTTTCTGTGGTACGTTGTTATGTTTATAGTGATAACTAATACCAAACTTTGTATTTTTCAGGTCCTATTGCAGGAAAGGTGCCACTGGTGAAAATAGTAAGCATCTTGTTTGTTTTTCTTCTGAATTTCATCCATTGAGAAGCATGAGTTAGAATTACTACTTATTGAATAACCTGTGCTTTCTACTTATTGAGAAGCGTCTTGTTCAAATATACTGTATATGATTTGTCAAGCTCCAAACATGATTTTAACATTTCCTGGAATCCTAACGACTAGTTTGCACCCACTTCCTTCTAGAGTTAAAATCATGTTTGGAGCTTGACAAAATGGAAGAGCTCCAAACATGATTTTAACGCTTCCATTTGTCTGCTAAAGATAAATTTTCACCCCCTTCGGTTGCTTGACATACCTTTTTAATTAAAAGCTAGATAGCCTAGAGCACTTGATTCAAACAAGTCGTGCAAGTTTACAATTGCTATGATCTACCCTTTGTATCACTTATCTAATGTAATTTTGCAGAGTGTAGATGGAAAGGCGGGTGTAAGGAGAATTCAGAAAAAGAAGAAATCGCTTTGTTTGGTGGCATACTGATTGTGAGTAGTGCAATTTGCCAACTTTCTGGGCCACGACACTCATTTCGACTCATACATTTCACTAAACATTTTCTCGACAAACATAGTGCTAACTTATACCTTTTGATTTATCAAATTGTTGTCTTGTTAGAATTTGTAACAAGACAACAATTTGATAAGTCCTAGAATTACATGCAATGTTAATGCATTGCCAATGCAAGTCTTATTTCCTTTTGTGTAAATACGATCCAGTTATTTTGTTAATATATATGATTGTTATCGCCAATGCAAGTTTATATGCTGTAAATTTCTGCATAAGTTGTGACTGTAAGGCATCCTAGTTTCTCTCTCAAGTGATTTTCGTAGAAACCCACACAACATAAACAGGAGCATCTAAATTGTTACCAATACCTATTTACTTAGAGCCAACGATCTTGTTCTCGTTCTTTAATGCTAGTATTTAGTAAACAATTCGCTCGTGATCTTGTTTATGCAGGTTGTCTTAATTGTCATTTTACTACTGGTGTACAATTGCTCTGATCAATTCATTGCAGTTCGAGCTAAAATTTTATCGAAGTCTCGTAAAAAGGCAGCAAAGATTGCGCAAGAATCAGCAACAGCACGGAAAAGATGGAAATTAGCAAAAGAACTTGTACTAAGGCATGAGATGGAAATGTATGAGTCTTCTGATGCACCTGAGGAATTAGCTACATCATCTGATGGGATACTACATGCTGATAAAGGTAATGGTAAGAGATCAAAAAATCGCAGAAAGCTAAATGTTCGCACTGAAAGGTTCAGACGTGCATATAGTCAGATTGACAAGGAAAGAGCTCTGCAGCTAGACAAAGACAAATTAACACTCGCTGGAATAGTGTCTCGAGCTGCTGAAAACAGACCACAGAGGCCAATGCTTGAGGTGGCCTTCAAAGCTCTGACATTATCCATTGGGAAAAAGAAACTTCTACAATGCGTTACTGGAAAACTTTCACCAGGTAGGATAACGGCTATTATGGGTCCTTCTGGAGCAGGAAAGACCACATTTCTCAACGCTGTGTTAGGCAAAACATCAGGCTATAAGAAGGATGGATTGGTCCTTGTAAATGGAAAATCCGGATCGATGCAGTCATATAAGAAGATAATTGGTTTTGTTCCACAAGATGATATCGTACATGGAAACCTGACGGTTGAGGAAAATCTGTGGTTTAGTGGACGCTGCAGGTACTGGATACATAACAAAGCGCAATTCATTTGTGTTCCCAAAGTATTCTTTTGGCCTTACACTAAAATTTTCAATGCACAATTTTATTAGGATCAGTGACATAGCATTGCAAGACTTCAATTCGCTGCAGAATTCGACAATATTATTCTTTACAGTTTCTTCACGAAATTCATTGAAAACGATGTTTAATTTTTCAGATATAGTTTAGTTTGATTATTAAAGTGTTATATCATTTATTTATTTACTTATTTATTCATATTCCCCCCTTCACATACATAAATTAATCATCTCTTGTATGGCATAAGTTCTGTGCCTAGATGGCTCCTAATAGTTGATGCATATTCTTTGCTAGGCATCTAAAAGAAGTGATATCTCCTAATTAATTTCAGCAACTCTTTTGATGATATCCTTATTGTACTTTCATAAGGCAATCATTTTCCTCTAACAATCACTATTCTTTTGTGAAACAGGTTAAGCAAAAGCATGTCAAAAGCTGATAAGGTTCTCATTCTAGAACGGGTTATAGGGTCACTAGGGCTCCAAGAAATCAGAAATTCCCTTGTTGGGACAGTGGAAAAGCGGGGTATTTCTGGCGGACAAAGGAAGCGTGTGAATGTTGGGATTGAAATGGTTATGGAACCATCTCTTCTGATATTAGACGAGCCAACAACAGGCTTAGATAGTGCTTCCTCCCAACAACTTCTAAGAGCTCTTCGTCATGAGGCATCCCAAGGCGTGAATGTTTGCGCAGTGATTCACCAACCAAGGTTTCCTTGTAAACTTTGAATTAATCATTCCTTTATTTCTTCCAGAAAGAATCCTTTTCTAATCTTGAGTTGAAAAGACATAGCTCATATGAAAAGTGCTCTTGCAATTTATTGTAACATTAATTGATCAGCTGGCCAATACACTAGGTCTACCTATCAGTTGGCGTTCCAAAATTTGGTAAAACAAATTCATCGACATGAGTAGTAGTAATGCCCAACTTTATACAGTGAGTCCTATAAATATGACTAGTCAGGAAGTCATTTATCCCTGTGTGACTAAAATAATCTTCTCTACACATTCTTTTCTACTCCCTCTATCCCAAAATAAGTGTCTCAAGCTTAGTACAACTTTGTACTAGCTCTAGTACAAAGTTGAGACCCTTATTTTGGAACGGAGGGAGTACTTCATTAAGATGAATTTGGATCTAATATGTATTAACATTTTACGCAGCTATACTTTGTTCAGTATGTTTGATGACTTTGTTCTTTTGGCAAGAGGCGGCCTTATTGCTTACCATGGGCCTGTAAGTGAAGTTGAAAATTATTTCTCAGGCCTGGGGATCAAGGTTCCTGACCGCGAGAATCCTCCAGACTATTATATTGACATCTTAGAGGGAATAGCAAAGACAAAAATGAGCGGACATGCCACTCCTAAACATTTGCCACTTCTCTGGATTCTGCATAATGGATATGATGTTCCAGAAGATATGCGGAAGGACCTTGAGGAGATCAATATGATGCACGAGTTATATACTGTAGGGTCCATTACTAGAGAACTATCTTCTGTAGAACAGACAGAGAGTAAACATTCTGTGCACCAAAATGTCAGCCAAAGAAATGATTTACTGAATAGGAAAACACCCGGTGTACTTGCACAATACAGATACTATTTAGGGAGGTAATCCGATCTCCTTCATTTCTCTAACTTGCTTTGAGTTTGGTGAATCATTTTGTAACTCCATAGCCAAATTATGTTTTCAGGGTAGCTAAGCAACGTCTACGTGAAGCTACGCAACAGGCTGTTGATTACCTGATATTGTGTATTGCTGGCATATGCATTGGAACCATCACAAAAGTAAACGATGATACACTCGGTGCAGCTTCTTATGGGTATACCATAATTGCAGTCTGTAAGTTGGCACCATGTGTTATTTTTATAAATGTCCTAAACCATAAAGTAGCAAAAAAATAAAACAGAAGAAGAAATATTCTGTTCCTGTAAAGCATCTTAGATTGCAAAAATATTGAGAACCACTCCACACACACTAGGTACACCGGACTGCATAATTGGCGAGAGACATTTGTAACACCTGACCTGGCCATACATAACATTTTTTTTCGAGAAAACGCAAGAAGAGCTTGCATTTCATTGCTTTGGAAAGAAAGGAAGTTTTGGTTACAATCCTCCTAGGAGGGAATTACAGTGCCTGGAGGCATATCAGTGCACGTCCCATGTTTGCGGTAAAATGGCACGAAGCCCTACGGCGCCGGCTCTGGCACAAAGGGCGGCCTCGTCTTTGATCTTCGTGAGCAGATCGGTCGTCGAGGGCCGGCCTCTGTTGAAGACGCAGTCGTTACAGTGCTTCCATATCATCCATGGGACGAGGAGGGCCGCGGAGGCGAGGCCCTTGCGCATGGGCTTTGGGGTGTCCTGTTGCGCTGTGTGCCACCAGTCGTTGAGGGAAGTCTGCTGTCGGGCGGGGCACAGGGGAGTCTGAGCCAGTGCAGACCTGGTGCCAGATCTTCCTGGCGAAGGGGCAGGCAAGGGTGAGGTGGTGCATGGTCTCGGGGGCCTGGTCGCAGAGGAGGCATCGTGCGGGGTGTTGCAGGCCACGGCGGGCGAGGCGATCGGTTGTCCAACATCGGTCCAGGCGGGCGAGCCAGTGGAAGAATCGGACGCGCGGGGGTGCCCAGTGCTTCGAGGTGAGCTTCCATGCGTCGCAGCCTGTGGAACCATTGAAGGTGGCGAGGTAGGCCGATTTGGCAGAGTAGACGCCGCGGGGTTCCACCTCTAGGAGAGGCGGTCTGGCTCGGCGGAGAGGGTCGTGGCGCTGATTGCCTGCCAGAGCTGTAGGTATTGCCCGATCTCATGTATGCCGATCGTGCCGTGTATGTCCCGTGCCCATTGGTTGGCCTGAAGTCCATCGGCGACGGTCCTGAGCTTGCGGCGACGCTTGGGGATGCAAGCGTAAAGGAGCAGCGCGATCTCGCTAACGGAGCGCCCGTCAATCCATCGATCTCCCCAGAAGAGGGCCTCCGTGCCATTCCCGATTTGCATGGTGGTGGATGCGAAGAAGAATGCACGCTCCTCGGCGGTGAACTGTCGAGGCCAGCCCATGCTCTGGTTCTGTCCGTGCGGCTGAACCACAACCAGCGGATGCGGAGCGCGAGGCTGGTCCGGCCGAGGTCGCGCACGCCTAGGCCACCGAGCGAGAGCGGCCTAGCGACACGTTGCCAATTGACATGGCAGTGGCCTCCATTTGCCTCCGCGCGTCCAGCCCACAGGAAGCCTCGCTAGATTTTCTCGAGTGCCCTGATGGTCTTCTTGGGGGCGCGAGGGCGAGGAGCTGGTGGATCGGGATTGCGCTGAGGATGGCCTTGACGAACGCGAGGCGGCCGGCCTTGTTCATAAGATGCGCCTTCCAGGTGGGTAGCATGCCGGCCGTTTTGTCGACGACGGGCTGTAGCTGTGCAGCCGTGGGGCGATGTAGAGTCAGGGGGATGCCCGGATAGGTGATTGGGAACTCGGCGAGGGGGCAGCCCGATAGGTTGACAGCGGGCGCGGCGTCATCAGCAGTGCATCGGATCAAGGTGGCGGAGCTTTTGGAGTAGTTGACCAGGAGGCCTGAAGCTCGGCCGAAGAGCAGCAGGATGCTCTTGACGGCAGTGATGTCGCCGATGGTGGGATGGCAGAAGAGGATCACATCGTCGGCGTAGAGGGAGACCGAGGGGACCGGGCATCGGGGGTGCAGCCGCTGTAGGACGCCCAGCTCCGTGGTGCGGCGGAGGAGGTGACCCAACATCGAAGGCAAGGATGAAGAGCTGCGGAGACACGGGGTCGTCCTGGCAGAGGCCACACCTGTGCCAGATGGTGGGGCCGGGGTCTCCGTTGATGAGCACCTTCGTGCTGGCTGAGGAGAGCAAGATGGCGAGCCATTCCAGGAAGCGGGAGTCGAAGCCGTACTGCCGGAGGACCTCGAAAAGAAACGGCCAGCTGATGGTGTCGAAGGCACGAGCCAGGTCCAGCTTCAGGAGGGCGCGGGGGGCGCCGAGCTGGTGCAGGAGGCGCGCGGACTGGCACACGAGGATGAAGTTGTCGTGCAAGCTGTGGCTGGGGATGAATGCGTTCTGGCAAGTGCTGACGAGGCTGCAAAGCTTCGGCGCGAGGCGGAGCGAAAGGACCTTGGTGAAGATTTTGGCGACAAGGCGAATTAGGCTTATGGGCCTAAAGTCACCAAGGCCGCGAGCATCCGCGCGCTTTGGGAGCAGGGTGAGCAGTGCCTAGTTGAGGGAGCAGAAGCCTCGACCGCGCATCTCGTACAGCCGCTGGAAAACGTCGACAAAGTCTTTCCGGACAATGGGCGCGCGCAAGAACTCGGCGGTGTAGCCGTCCGAGCCGGGAGCTTTTCGAGCAGGGAGGTGCTTCACCGCCTGCCAAATTTCCTCGGCGTCAATGGGGGCGTTGAGGTCGTCGAGGTTTGTGGACGTGATCAGCTCGGTGGGGTCGAGGCTGCAATCGCGGGGCGTCTCACGGCCGAGCAGGGCGTCGAAGTGCGCGTAAGCCGCGGCTGCCATGTCGCAGGGGGCGGAGATCGAAGCGCCGTCCATCGTGAGGCCGTGTATCCGATTCTTCTGCCGCCGATACATGCATTGCCGGTGGACGAATGATGTGCTGGCGTCGCCGTCCTTGAGAGTCAAGATGCGGGCGCGCTGTCGAGCAATGGTGCGCTCAGGAGAGGTGAGGCCAAGGTAGGAGGCCTTGATCTGCCGCCGAAGCCAGTCTTCGTGCGGGGACAGAGATCGGCTCTCCTGCGCCGTGTCCAGCCTGAGAAGGAGCTCCCTGGAGATCGCAAGCTTGAGGCGAACGTTGCCAACAATTCGCGTGCTCTAGCTACTAAGCTTGCGCGCGGTGATTTGCATGCGCCGCATGAGTCGCCGGAATGGGTCGTCATCGTGGATGGAGTGCCAGGCGCCCGCCACAATGTCGTGGAATCCATCCAACCGTGTCCAGAATTCCTCGAAATGGAATCTTCGATGTCCTGGCGGCACCGGTTTGCAATCAAGCGGCAAGGGGCTGTGATCGGAAACGACGGAGGCGAGGCATCGAAGGTGGCATTCCCCATGCGGGTCCTCCCAATCGGGGGTGCAGAGGACGCGGTTGAGGTGCACGACGGTTTGGGGGATTGCTCGTTGGACCACGTGTAGCGCCGAATGTTGAGGTAGACCTCTTTGAGCGCGAGGTCGTTGATAGCATGCCGGAAACGACCCATCATGCGGCGATTGAGGTTGCCGTTGTTCTTGTCTTCGTCGCGGTATATGAGGTTGAAATCACCGCATAGCATCCAGGGGCCGTCGCAAGCCGCCCGGACGTCTTGTAGCTCCTGTAAGAAGGCGATCTTGTCGGCGTCCAGCTGCGGCCCATAGACCACGGAAATCCACCACAGCGTGCGCGCGCCAGAGGGGGCAGACACCCTAGCAGTCAAGGTGTTTGACGTGAACTCAGGGTCCGAGATGGCCACCTCCATGCTTTTCCAGGCAAGCAAAATACCACCACGGGTGGCGTCCGCAGGGAGGTAAACATAGTCATCGAATTCCGAGCCAAGCGCTTCAAGGACAGTCGACGCGCAAACCAAAGCCATCTTTGTTTCTCGGAGGCAAACGATGGACGCATTAGCGCTTACAACAAGTGAGTGAATGGCGGTGCGGCGGGCACGCGCATTGAGGCCGCACACATTCCAGATCAGGATCTTGGGCTCGTAATCCATGGAAAAGAGGTCGACGGTGGGGTGCGGGGGCGCGGTCATGCCTCAATCGGGCTGCCGGCGAGCACCGTGGTGATCGGCGCGATCATGGGATCCGCGGGTAGCTCGCGATCGACCAGCGCGGCGATGGCCGAGAGGATGGGCAGAGGGATGGGCGTTGCGAAGAGGCCTTCATACGCCTTCATCTCGGCCGACGTGATCCTTTGGTCGACCCTAACGATGCCCAGGATTCGCAGGATGTGGATCTGCGAGCGCCGCTCAGCCGTCGGCGGGGCTGCGGACTTGCAAGACGAGGAGGCGGTCGAGCGCCCTCGTCGCAGGGTGAAGTTGGGAGGTACGCGTCGCGGGCGTCTGCCGGGGGGTGGGAGGGCTTGCTTGGTGGCGGCGGCGAGGAAATCTCCCAGAGTCCAGGAAGTAGGCGCTGGCACGCGTGGGTGGGAGCGGCGTAGGGTGATTGGGGGGGGGGATGCGAAGCGCGCGGGCGGGCACGACGACGTGGCATTGGGCTCGACAGAATGCGTCGCATGCATGTCTCCATGTTGGGCCGTCGCCTGCACGTCCCCATGACGGGCCGCCGCATGCCCCGTGCCATGATGGGCCTCATGCTGGGCCTCGGGCGGGTGTTGCGTCTCAGCAGCTGAGCGGCCGCGGCTGGGGCAAGGGGCGCGTCCATGCATGGTGGGGCCCCTGCGGAAGCCTCCCGGGGCTCCAGGACCGGTCCAGCTGTCGACTCGGGGGTCGCCACCGCGGGGATTCGGTCCGTGGACCGGTCAGCAACGAGCGCAGCAGCGCCAGGGGGGACAGCGACAGAGCGCTGCTTTGCCCCGACAGCGGACCAGCTGCAGGCGTCGAAGGCTGGGAGTCCGGTACCTCCCTAGCCAGCGATTGGCCGTCCACAGGGCCATCCTGATCCCCATGCATGTCGTGGCTTGCCTCGCCCGGTGCCGTCATCGTGTGGCCCGCCCCATGTGAGGAAGGCAACATGGGCGGGCTGGTTGGGGCAGGGTTGGGGGAGGGCAGAGCCAATGGTCGCCGGTCAGCTGTCGAGCTGGTGGGTGGTGGGGTGCGGGTTTCGGGGCAGGAGGACGTTGGTGGCGTAGGAGGGTGGGGTAGCATTGTCACAGGCCGCCAGCCTTTTCTTTCCCGACGCTTTCCCCTTTTGGAAAAGCGACGAGAGCCCGTGGGTCCCCCAGCAGCAGGCCAGGGTCCATCATGCGCGTGCGCCTCGGGGGCAACGCCACCCCGGCCGTACGACAGCGAGGTTGGCACCACCCGGCGTCGACGACGACGCCACCAGCACGGCCATGGTGGCTGGACACGTGACAGCACGCGGAGTCGACAGCCATGCCGTCCTCGCGGCCGTCAGGGGCACCGGAAGAGCGGCGGCGCTTACGCCCGAGGCGGCGGCTGCGGTTGCGTCCCGCGGCATGCTCGCGACCAACGTCTCCGTCATTGCCGTCTGGTGCGTCGTCATCGCTCGGGCCAGGGCCATTACGAGCGGGAGGCTGCGCGGTCCGGCGGGGCGTGGCCGAGGCGAGCATGATGGAAACCGGGTAGATGAGGGTGCGCACGGCAGGCGGGAGGGTGCGGCCGTGGGCGCGGTTGCGGGAGGGGACGGGTTCGACGATCTCCAGGATGGCCGCCTGGCGGATGCTCGCGGGGTCGCGCGTGTGCGCGGTGAGGCGGATGGTGGCAAGGTCGGCGCGAGAGCGCGTGCTCCGGTGGAGCCGCTCAATCCAGCAGCTGGTGCCGAGGAGATGCTCGGCGGTGGATAGATGCCATGCCTGCGCCGGGATGCCGCGGAGCTCGAGCTCGACGCTGCAGTCCAGGGAGCCGAGCTGGGCATGGGCGAGCTTGTTCCACGGGCGGAGCGCCAGAGTGAACCCGGGGCCGTTGATGAAGTGGTCGCCGGCGAGGCGGTCCATGAGCTCTCTGGTGGCGAAGATGAGGAGGAAGTCCTCGAGGCGATGCGCGTGGATGGTGAAGTCGCCGGGGAGGAGGTCGAAGGATGAGTACATGACGCGCTCAACGTCACGGGCGGCGACCGCTGGTCTGTCTCCGGTGATGGAGACGACCATCCCACGGCGCAACACCGTCTCGGCCTCGTCCATCTCCATGGAGCGCGAAATGATGACGCGCACCGGGTCGATGAGCGGGGCCGGCGCGGGCTGGGGCGGCGCCTCGGGCGGGGCTGCGATGTGGGGGCGTGGCGTCTCCCGGGTGACAGCGGTCGGCGCAGCGGCGGCGACGGTGGTTGGGGGGGGGGCACGGAGGACGCCGCGCTGGAATTTCCAGCAGTTCCGCGAGCCGTGCCCGGGGTAGAGGCAGCGGAGACAGCGGACGTCGTTGGTGCACTCGCGCACGGGGTGGCCGGGGTCCAGGCAACGGAAGCAGAGGCCAGCAGCCTCCTCCGGGGATGGGCTGTGGCGGTGGCGCCGCTGGGCCGGTGGGGTGGCATCGCGGCGCGTGCCCCGGTGTCGGTTCCTGTGGCGGGGGGCTTGGAAGCCGTCTGCGTCGACCTCCGGACCTCCATGGACGCGGTGGACCTCGCTGCGGGGTCCGAGGCGGGTGGCGGCTGGAGCGTGTGGGGGCGGCGCGGCAGGGCCG